TATTATAATGACCTTTCAGCCATGCCTGCTTAACAATACCGAAGTTACAATGACGCTGCACACATGCACTCATGTTACCATGTCGAATAATATAAAACTGACCTTTAGTCTTTACAAAGTGATCTGTCTTGGTTCTGTTTTAGTAGACTAGTATTTTGTAAAATACAGTCACATTTCAATTATTATATATGTACATAGATTATTATTATTTACAAATAAGTTCTTAAACTTATTTTTCTTAAAACAAAGAACATTAAATAAAGAAGTAAAGCAAACAATTATCTCTTTTAGTTCTGACTTTTGTACTCAGTTACTGCATGATGTAGGTTGCTAAGCCTTATGAAATTTTGCACGTGGAGGATGTGAAATGAAATAATTTTTTGAGGTTTTATATATACATTTGAATAACCAAAAAATCATAAATTACTACATTAATATCATATTTTATCAAGCTTAGTAGCTAAGCTGTATTTCAGTCAAAAATAATATTAAATTTCAAACCGACTAAAGATACAAACTACCTCATTGAAATCTTGGTTCGAAAGAATGAGATTGTGTCCTAACACTGTAAAATGGCTGATAAAGACACTTGAAGAACATTCTGAGCTTTCGATTGCTTATTCACATGTCATAAGTAGAACTGTATATATATAAGGGACCATTTCCAAAAATGTAAGAGGTGAGTAGGGTCACTGCATTTCATTTAGTATGAGTGATATCTCAGCAAATAGAAAAGATAGGAGGTTCTTATTTTATATTTTAGTTTGTCAATATTGGTAATTTGAGTTCTTAAAATTGTACAAAACAACAGAATTTGTATTTTGACATCACAAACATCAAATTTTAACCAGTGCTGCATTCAACATACCATGTGACACACAAAAAATCGATGTTAAAGTGTTTTTTAATATTTACTTTTAAATTAAGAAATTAAATAATTATACTACTAAAATTTGAATTATTATCTATAGTTTGATACCAAACTTAATGACATAAATTCATAAAATAGTAGTTCAATAAAATTTTGAACGCTAGTCAATAAACGCGATGACATGGCCTTTGACCTGTGTGGAAATGGTTAAAGTCAATATATTTGCTTGAGACCAACATTTCTTTGGAAGACAAATCCCAGTCCAATGAGTCATGTTTCTAAATAACTGTCATGATGAATCAGAATCATCATGTACTTGTCAAAGGTTAGGATGGCATTAACTTTGTGCAGAGCAGTGATACTGCTGGCTGAGATGTAGTCCCAGCCTTGTATTGATCATCCACTATGTTTCACTTTAGATGTACACCGGTAAAAGACAGATAGGAGATAAAAGATAAATCTAAAATGTTGTATCTACATACCTGTGTTCTTGAATTTGACATGGACAAATTAAATGGAATGTGCAAAAAATCAAACATCTGAAGTTAAAGGGATTTTATTACATATATCTTACTATTTACAAGATAACACTCATATCTGTATTAACAGCTAAGATGTTATCAACTTCTGCATTTCAAATATTTATTACAAAAACATAAACATACACTGAGATATTTAATATCACTTTTGAAGAGTATTGGTTTCCTAATTGTACCAATTCTATTATTAACAGTACCAGTTTCACACACTTTCTTTATTCTTACATATGATTTCTACTGAAACATGAAGTCTTGCCAAAATTTTTAACAAGGAGTATCCCTGACTAGTCAAAACTTTGATTTGTACAAGTTTATTGTGTGATATGTCAGTGCTGGAAGCCATGACCAGAATCACACTACAGGTCATAGTATGAATGTATATACTTTACAGCCTTTATACTAATGTGACACTTTTTTGCTCAATTGGATAACAACTGGTCAGTGGAATCTATCAATACATGACTATACTCTGATGCAATTTATTGTCACATGACAAAGGTGTGACGGTACCATAATAATTACCTTTTACACCCTTATTCTCCCCTATTTCCATAATTATTTCCAATACTGTATATACAAAAACTTTGAATATCACAAGTTTATAATCAGGTTTATATGTTTAAAACTGCTTTTTTTTCCCTTTAATTAAATTTTTTAATCTATGTTACTTTCTTAGGTTTTAATTCAAAAAAAAAAAAGACAACCGTACTTGCCCAAGTATAATGCACACCTCCAAAAAATTGACTGTGCATTATATTCGCACACATTCACTTTTGTTAGGTATCTTACTAGAAGCTACCACTGAAGATTATTAAAGGTTTCAATAAGTTTTCTTTAATGTAACCTTTCAAATTTGGTGCAAAATATTCAGGCAAATAGGTAATAAAAGCTGTTTTCATATTCTAACAATAATTACACAAAAACTCATAACACAAATTTTATATACTTTAGTATATGTAAGTATACTAAAACTAGAACTCTTTGAATAAAACTATTTTTTTTTCTCCACTGAAACACAAAAGTAAATTATGATTACAGCATAAGCATATTTTATAAAGAGGAGCTAGGTCTGTAATATACACTTATGCTCACTTCATATTCACTAACAAAGTTGCACCTTTAATGATTTATGAATAATGAAAGAAACTGAAACTAGGCTTAGTTTAGTGCATTTCATTAAAGCCTTACATTGTTTCCACCTTGGGCCATGGCTGATACCATCTGAGACATGAACTGACTGAAAGGATCATGGCCAGTATTCCCTGTTACATTAGTTCCACTGCTACTGGTGGTAGTGCTAGTTGTGTTACTAGTGGTTATACCAGTACTGCTAGTTGTAAGATTTGGTGAAGAAACAGTGGTACTGATATTTGAAGGCCGACTTCCTGGAAAGCTAAATTGAGTTACAAAACAAGATAAATTTGCATTAAGGATTCATGCAAGAGTAAGAGATGTTTAAAGTGAAGCTATAATTGATTATAAATAATTCCTGTGTGCTTGGTTTATAACTGTTGGTAAAAACAATCTAGTTTTAATAAACATAATCAAACCTTCTTATATCTTTTATTTATTTTTGTATCTCCGATCTTAAACTGTACAATGGAAATTTTATACTGTATTTAAACACTTTTACTACCCCTTTGTGTAGTTGTGATTACTGTATGGCAAAACAGACTGAAGACTAATTGTATTATTTTGTTTTTGTGACTGCTAATAAGTGAGCAATGGAAAATAAAAATTTAATATAATTCTGATTTTTAACAGCAACAGTAGTTTAATAATACTACAACAAGAGTATATACACTGAAATGATATGTTACTATGTAGCATAACTACTATTTGTAATAACTGTAGAATGGTAGCTCACACACTGAAAGCTCCTGGGGCAACTTGTTGTAGTTGCTCCATGCCTTGTTGTATCTGCATTATAGCTCTCATGGCTTGTGGGTTAGTGATGAGAGACTGAATTTCTGGGTTCTGCATCTGCTGAAGAAATACAGGCATCATATTTCGGATTTGTTCTTGAAGTTGGGGATTGCCTGAAAGAAGAGGATTGTTGGCTACAATTTGTCGTGCCATTTCAGGATTAGCAGACAGGGCTTGGAGTGTTGACTGCATGTACGGGGCACTCATCATATTCTGCATTAACTGTGGGTTTTCCACTAACTGTTGCATCAAACTCTGCATACCAGGGGAACCAAAGAAAGAACCTCCTGTTGTAGCATTCTGTCCTAAAGATGAATTTTTTGTGCCATTAGTGGTGGTGGAGGTGGTAGTGCTGGATGTGGTGCCTCCACTGGAACCCCAAGGATTAGGTAAAGGGTCCCTATTCTCTGTTCCTTGTTGCCCAGAATTATTTTGGTCTAAAGATAAAGGAAATTAATAAAGTCTAACAATAAATTGATATAAAAAACCTTTTTTACTCCACAAATAAAATCAATTTACAATCCCAGCACAGTTTCTCTCAGTTATTGACAATTATCTTCATAATTTATCAAACTAATTCATAGATATTTTATATAAAGGAGAACAAATACTGTCATGAGATCATTTTAAAGCATCAAGACAAAATGTACGTCTTCTTATTAGATGTGAAAATATTTACCTTTTACTATTCTTTAACAAAATACATAAAAATAGCTGTTAACATATGAAATATGTTTTTTCTGGGCAGTACATTTAATTTTTTTCTATCAACACATTAACATACTTAAAGACTATTATTAATTACTTAATCCAACAGCAAACTTAAATAAACTTGGCATAAGGTTGAATAATTGGATTTTAATGGAAATTATGGCATACATAAATATTTTTCTTTGGTATGAATATACCTTCTCTAGTGTGTATTTAAATAATAAGAACTGTTGACATAACTCTTAATAGAACATATTTTTTCAAAAATGAGTTTTGTAATTATATTCTTACTTTAGTATACTACTAAGACAAAAACAACAGCTTTGTAAAAACTTTTGATATAGAAACATTTTTAGCAGTAGCATTTGGCATACCAAATAAGAAAGGGTCATTAAACATCACAAATGTTACTGGGTTATTGTAACTGTAGTTTATAATTTTAAAAAGGAACTAATATAATAAATTCTAACCACATGATTTAACTAATGAAACTTAATCTATTATAGTTAAAGCTATTTAATGATAATGGATGTTATACTGTAAGTCAGATCATTTACTGTTACAGCAGCATCTTTTCTTACTCAGTAAGATTTCACTTCAACAGCAGGAATAGGTAAAAATTAAGCCAATTATAACCACAAGATAGAAATACTTATTTAACGAAAATATCTAATTAAAACACTGTAGTTGACTATAGTTAGTTATTCCTGGAACCATTCTATTTCTGATTTAATGCAGTGTATGATGAAAAATAGCTTAATTTCTGTTAAGAAATTATTTCAATCTGAATCTTTCTTCTTTTAAAGAAGATATCAAATTTAAATTCACTAAAATTTCAATCTGATTTTGAAAGAACAAAAGAATAAGCACAAAATGAACTATTCATTCAGTTCATAACATATTCATCTTGTACAGAATTTGAAGAAATGCTTTGATTAAAGCTTTTTAATATGAATTTTGTAAGGTGGTCTTACTAATTAACAACAAGGGGCTAAAGGTCATAGATAAAAAAATTCTTAAGTTGGTAAAAAAAAATTAATGCATCACTAAAAAAATATTGGTTAATACATATAATTAAAATATAATATTAACCTATCATGTCCACCTACAATTTCTGCCACCAGTTCCAAAAGAATGCCAGAATGATCAAATCATAAAATCTCTGATTAGGTTTTTGAAAGCTTACATTCCAGATTAACCCTATTATATACATAAAAACACTGTTTGAAGTAGAAAAATAAAGTAATTTTATGCATTGCAGAAAAATATTTGTTTGCGAATAGTGTAAGAAAAATATTAGAAAGTTTCCAATTTAGAATTAACAAAAAAATCTCAACAAACTCAAGATACATACAATAACAGATCAAAAGTTATGAGAAATTTCAAGAAATCAAGATCCTATTTCTATAGTATGTCCTTGTAACACTTTTCAACAGGTCCATGAACTGAATTCAGAATAATAACACTTCATTGTTGGCAAAATTAAGTTACTCTAAAACTTTCAATTAGTTCCATGAATGGCCTACAAAAAATGCTTTGTTTCCAGTTATCCAACCGACCCTAAAGTTTTTCAACATCCCCCCAAAAAAATCATCTTCCAACAAACTCTAATGAAAATCATCCTTCAATTATTTTTTTAAATTTCATTAAACTATTGCACCAATCTGCTACTATATTGTGCAAGGTGAAGGTCATAAGAAACCACATCTCAGATTAATTAGTTGGTGTGTCAATGCTGTTTCCCTAAAAAAGACAGTGTCACAGCTAACTGGAAAAGTCAAAGACAAGTTTGAGTCATACCATCCTAAGCTAGATAAGAATGATTATGAGCAGAGAGCAACACATGTTGATCTGGGTACAGTTTCAATGGACATTGGGATAGACCAATTAGTAGACATGTTTGGCATCAAATCAATTGAATTTCACTGTAGGCCTAAACCAAAATGCTCCGTGGAAATTGAAAGTATCAGTAGAGCAAAGGATACAGTGATAAAACCCAATCAGCCCAATGCCTTCCAGATTTTGATGGCAGGCAAGAGCGTGTTTACCCCAGAAGAATAGCAGGTTAGTTGGGTTTTCACTTTCATTTCAATTTTCATATTAAATCTGGGCCCTATCATCATGTCAGATCTGACATGCCTATATTTATTACATTTTGTTATCAGCATCCTACAAATTTATGAATATTTTCACATCTATAGTGGAGTAACATTCCTCTACAATGTTGAAATATGTTTACAATATAAAATGATATAAATGTATAGATCTATATACATATCAGTACTTGAATACTAGTATTCTTATCAGGCAGATCTAAGAAAAGTTAGTGCTATTTCTAAATCTTAGACTTACAACAAGTCCAGATTTTGCAACTCAATATTTGATCTTTCAAACCTTGAATAATGTAGTCAAAATGTGCTCCATTTCAGTTTTTCTATATATATTTTCAGTTCTGAGAAAGGACAAGCTCTTTAATAAAGTTGTATCTGATTTTGAGACCAAAGGATTGAACTGGCCAAGAGATGCACTTACGGAAGGGACATATTTCATCCAAGTCAGTGATAAAATAGAACGAAAGACAAGATATTTTTTAGGTGCTTGATTTTGATTAAAATATTTAAAAATGCAATTCAATATTTACATATGACATCTTTGTCTTGTTTTATTCTTTCATATAGGCAAATGAATATTGGCAAGTATCCTGATCAGATACAGGTGATTGTTGTTAGAGGATAGTTAATACGGCTGCATTAGAAGGATTTAATATACATTAACCAATTAAATCATACTTATACAAATTTTTATGTCAGGCAACTTTTATGGATAAAATTCATACAGATGTATATACTTGCACATATTTCGTAAAATGGAATAAAACCATTTTCTATACAAATTTTGCACATTTGTATTAAATATTTAGAGCTTTGTAGTTGGTAAAAGCTAAATTACAACTGAATAACCTTTCAGTATATATATGTGGGAACAGACCAACTTCTGAATACATTTAGTGAAACAATAATTTATTGGTAGTACATGTAACATGTAATAATGTGTTTTAATCAATTTATAATACCATGTATCATCTATTGTTCCAAAGTTACAATTATTTTCGTAATAACTAAATCTCTATTTTTTTGTGTTGTTTTCAGGTGTTATGTAATGCATTGTGGTATGAATCAACATCAAGTTATAAATAAAATCACAAGTACAGCCAATTCACACTGTTTTTGAGAAGTATGTAGGCTACAATGATCACAAGAGGAAGAAACAAAAAGCCCACCAATGTCAGCATCACAGCTAGAATCTCATGGATAGGCTCTCTATAGTCTATTGCAAAAGCCTATTATCAACAGTAGCCCTACTTGGAAAATGGTGATGCAAGAAATCCAGCAGCTGGCAGAATGTATGGTTTCGTAAAAGAATCATCTGAAAGAACAACTCAAAAACCAAAACTAAGCTTTGGATCATCCAGTGTGAACTATTGGTATACATCCTACACTCGAGCACAGAACTTCGCAATACTTTCCAGCACCTAGTGACAGCAAATATTCTCTCATTGACAAAGCCATGCCTTGTGCAGACATCTTGACCCCAGTATTCTTTGATGAATTGAAACATGCTGATAGACCATTTGAGAATGCTCAAAAAAAAATACAGTTCTTCAAGAATCTTATCTCTGTATCAATTGACATAATTAAATACTGCCCTGGGGATCAGTGAATGTCTTAGTGAATGTCAATAAAAATCAAAATAAGTCAACGATATTGACACAAGGGGCAAGAATCTTGTAACAAATTACATCACAACTCAAGAAGTTTCATATGAAGAAACACAAAAGAGATTTCAAAGCAAAGTGAACAATACTGCTCGAGTTTCTCCAGATGTAAAGAAGTTTGTATACAAATACTTAACAGGAGATGCATCAGTACCAGACAATCCTGATCTCAAAGAACGATTACATTTGATCTTGTTAGGACATACATGGATTGTTGGTAATCTTCGTAATTTAAATACTGGTAGACCTAAGATGTTCAAACCCTTCTTCAAAAAACTTGAAGTAGTAGTTGAAGAAAAAACTGCTGCTGATGACAGATGCCACAACATATCTCATCTATCAGAATGGATGTCAATGGAATATCTAAGGACCCAAGCTGCAGTTGGCACCCCAATACCATCAGTCTGTTTTTCAAGACTTCAGTGTGTACCAAGAAATCCCCATGTTCACTCATCGTTAAGGATCACATTAAGTATAAATGTGCAGTATGTGTAAAATACAGAGGCAAAAGCTCTGTGTTGCACATCCTGATAATAACTTTTGTGCTGCACAAAGAGAAGGCTGTAGAGCAATAGGGTGAGGTGATGTTGTTCTGCTGTGATGATAGTCGAAATTCTCATTGGAGAGCCATCAGCCCCAGTTTCAACAGGCTGAGGTAAAATGGCTATTGCTCCTGTTGCAACAACACTCGGTGTTCCTCATCATGACATGACTAAAGGTTTCCCTCACCCCCCCATCTGTCATTCTACAGTGTGACTTACCTCAATCTGCTGATAAATCTTTCATCCAAGACACAGTAGCATGTGTAAATGACTCTGTCTTTCAGACTTCCAATCCATTTCGCCATGCTTTGATGTTGGTTAAAGTGGTTCAAAGAGCAGAAAATAACCCAAGTGTGATAATGAAATTTACAGATGCAGGTACTGACCACCAGAATACTTTAGAGGCTAT